AAGAGCAGTTTGGAAAAGGGGCTAAAGGTCTCTGTAAAACCGATATACATATTTCCTTTTGTATTATATATTATTATTATTATGAGGCAGCTTCAAAATGTTCCTGGAAGGATGGAATTAAAAGATAATAAAAATGTCCCCACAAACGTTCTGCAGTCCCCTCGTATATGCTGCGTCTGTTAGCTCCCGTGACAAGTTTCAAACGTAGGACGTCTGTTCACGTAAGAAGAGACGAAGGTGCTGGAGGTGACACGAGTAGGCTCTCTGTTTGCTAAGGGGTAAAGTGAGTATTCCAAGTCAAGTCCCGTGCTCCCGCTGCTTCCTCGACATGAGAGGTTCGGCCCAAAGCCAGTGGTGGGAGGGATTACCGTCCTCCAACAACGGCTGCTCAGTCGGCCTGCATCATGATCTGAATTCCAATCATCAGAACACGGATGGCCCAAAACAGAAGATCTAATTCCCGAATTGAAAAAAGGGGGGGCTACCGGGAGAAACTGCTCATCTCACCATCTTTTTCCAATAAACCGGCAGTTGGAAGTTAATAATGAACAAACACATCCACTGCTCTAAGCAGTACTAGGAAATATTGCTAAAGCTAATTTAAATTGTTTCTACTGTGACTTCTAGGTCACCTCTTTGTTGTCTAGGCACGAATGTTCCAGTAGCTGCATCTAGGAATTAGCGCAAAGCTGGAAATAGACTAGGGAAAGGAAACCATTTTTGGTTAGACTACAATGTAAACTAAGGTGACCAGATTTTGGCAGGACAGTCCCGATTTTTAACAATTTGTCCTGCGTCCCGCGGCATTTTAAAAAAGTCCCGATTTTCTGAAAGAATGCACGACAAGCTAGGGCATAGAGTTTTCGGCTGCCACGTGGCTATTTCACCAGGATATGAGTTTTATCAGTGGTGTCCCACTTTACAATGTTAAAATCTGGTCACCTTAACAAATCCCTGAAATGTTCAGGCTTACAGAGGAGGTACTCTGCAGCAACTTCACGCACAGGCAATGGGACTACCGGTGTTCCTTTGACCTTGTTGTTTAACCTAGGAGAGTCATGCTAAGGATGCCCCATTCATTAAACCACTCCCCACACACCCTTACACCAGGATTATCTTCTGCAATCCCATCTACATGGATGGAAGCAAGCAAGCAAGCAAGTAAATCAATGAGAGCAAAATGTAGTTCCCCTAACTCCACTGATTTTAAACTTGCGGTATTTGTATAAAAATCCTGTTAAAAGGATGGTAAGGAAATACACAATCATAAACCAACTGGTGAAAGGCCAAGAAAACCACCTCAAAGTCTATTCAATTCAAAAGGTAAAGAATGTATAAGAGCACACTGGTCACTAAGTGCATTCCTAATGGAGAATTAAGAGGATAATGACCACAGAAGCAGCTAACGCATACTAAACGATAACCATGTGCCAAGTACTGCTCCAAACACTTCAACTCTTTCAATCGCCAAAACAATTCTACACAGCAGGTGTATGGACTGAATTGTGTGCTCCTAAAGCAGCGGTCCTCCACTTGCAGGTCGTGACCCTTTCACAGGGGTCGCCCAATTCATAACAGTAGCAAAATTGCAGTTATAAAGTAGCAACGAAAATAATTTTATGGTTGGGGGGGGTCACCACAACATGAGGAACTGTATTAATGGGTCGTGGCATGCGGAAGGTTGAAAACCACTGTCCTAAAAGATGTTGAAGTCCTAATCCCTGAGCCTGCAAATGTGAGTTCGTTTGAGGAAATAAGGTTGTTTGGGGTTTTTGTTTCCCTTTGCAGATGCCTCCAGTTAATTTAAAAGAGGTTATCTGAGAATAGAGTAAAGCAGAAAGAAAAAGTCAAGCCCACTGTCACTGAGTCTATTCCAACTCATAGCAAAGTCATGTTTCTTAGGGTTTCCAAGAATACAAGTCTTCACAGAAACTGATAGCCTCATCTTTCTCCCATGAAGTGGCTGGTAGGTTCGAACCAACACTCTTGCACAGTTAGGAGCTCAATGCCGAACCCACAGCACCAACAGGGCTCAGAGTAGGGTAGGCCTTAACGCTGATCTGCCTGAGTGACTTCTTATACAAGATAAGGATAGACCACTGAAAGAGCCACATAAGATGAGCCGAGAGGATCGTTTATTAGCCAAGGCACAGCAAGGATCACCAGCAGTGACCAGAAAGCAGGACAGAGGAGTGGAAGAGTGCAAATGATATTGAGGGCTAAATTAGAGGGCAAATGTTTTGAGATTGATGAGAGCAACAGGTGTACATATGTGCTTGACTCAATGGATGGATGTATGGACTGTGATAAGAATTGTACGAGCCCTCAATAAAATAATTTTTTTTTAAAATACCCAAACTCTGAGAAAATAAACTGTTATTCACGGCCACCTATTTTGTGGCATTTTGTCACAGCAGCCAAGGAAACTCCAACAGTAGGTCCCTATTATGATTCACATTTTCACAATGTGGAAATGGAGGCATGGGGCAGTTAAATCACTTGCTCAGGGTCACACTGCTAGTAAAAGGTGGGTCTGGGATTTAGGCTCAGGGGATCTGGCTTCTGACCTGCACTAGGAGTTACTACAATAGACTGGAAACATAACATTGGCGGGGTGGGGGTGGCGGTAATAGGAAGGAAAATAAAGGGGGAGATATGGGATGTAGAGATCAATCACTCCCACCCTCACAACTTACACTTTAATCAGAAAGACAGGCAAATAAGCTTTAGAGGGGCACCTAAGTGCCTAAATTGCCCCAGGGTTTAGGCAAGGCTGCCAGTAATAGATGCCCTTTCACCTGAGCTCTAAGTTCAGGTCTCAGAGCTAACCTCAGGGAGACAGGACTCTAGCGAGCACTTCAGAAGGGGTAACTCTCATCAAGGCCCCCTGTAAGGAAAAGCAAGAAAACACTGCACCCGCTGACCAATATGTACAGATAATAAAGTGTGTCCTCTGGGGGAAGAGAGGAGGTTGAGAAAAGAGGGCTGAAATACCAGGGTGGAGAGAGTGCAACAAAAATGACCAGAAAGACTGACAGTGGCATCCTAAAGGAATGTTTGGAATAAATAGGGATTTATCCTGAAGGAAATTGGGATCGTGGAGGGATCTGAACAGAGGCATACGATGCCTTTTGGAATGAATGCTCACTCACCCATTTGGAAAACACAATAGATGCAGGGAAGAGGGCGAAGTAGCTGGGAAGCTGGCTGCCAGTGTAATTCGATGGCAAAGATGGGATCGTTTAAGGTAGTGGCACTGGGGTAATGTCAAATTTGTGTAGGAAATGCCAAGGAGGATGTTATCAAAAGTATCTGGTGACTGACTGCATGTAGGCAGGGAGGACAACAAGGTGACAGCCTCCTGAGAAGGGGCATGTGCGGGGATTGCCCTAGAAGGTGTCCCTTCTGAGAGGATGGTCTCTGGGGGCCGAGTGGGTCTTGGAAAAGTCCC